AGATTGTACCTGTGACGCCTTTCGAGGCGGCCTCTGGTGGTAAAGCCATTATCACTAGTACTTCTGACACCCCTGGGACAGCCGCGACCACCCTACAGTTCCCCTCGGGGATGTACGATGTTGCTATCAATTACTATGACCACAAAGGTGGACGGTCCAAGTATGAAATCTTTCTCAACGAAAAGGCTATCGGCACGTGGACCGGAGATCTTGAGGATCACCTTGGCCATGACTTTTCCGAATTTGTTGATGGGCACTCGGCCACTCGTACCTACTTCCGAGGAATTAAGGTGGAGAAAGGTGACATCCTCAAAATTGTTGGATATCCTGACGGCACCGAGTTCGCGCCTATCGACTATGTGTCCATTCTGCCGAATGGCATAGTAGACTAGCCTAAAGTGGGTTTTTTCCACTTGATAAAAATCGCTCGGTTGTGCTGCCTTAATGGAAATTGGGAAGTATGAGGGCGCAGCTCAGAAATGCTTGCCACGAAGCAAGAGGCACTGCAGTCTGGACCTGCATCATTTGGCTCAGATAGATAGACGTCGGTACTATAGAGAAATATTTTAGGTTAGACATTGCAAGTAATGGCTCTAAATGTGGCTTTGATAATCTACCATTCGACATTGTGCAATATAAACTTGAAGAGAGCCGGATTACAGCATATTTCCCCGTTGGTTGCGTTTCATTTATGTCTACCCCAATTATCGAAAACCCTGAAGTTACTGTCAATACTAGGCAAGTAATTACTCTAGTAAAATTTCCTACTTAGCACTTGGCTAGGTTTGTATATGGAGGTGGGAGTTTCGCTCAATAAGTCTCCCTCTTTCCCACGCTTTAGAGTCCTTCCTCTTCGTTATAAATCACAAGACCAAGGAACTACATAATGTTTTTTATTGCCATATTGTATGTTTATGCATCGATCCCTAAGATGTAAGTTAAGCTTGAACCATTGGACCACTACTCCGTGACCACTTTGGAACTACTATGGTAGCTATTTGGAATCTGGTTAACAAATTGGCAGAGATAGAATTCTTGAAAAATCCCAAAGTGAACCGAGTTTCTGTAACTAACCTTGCGTATAACACATATAAATTACATATTTCGTCGCACGCACGGGCCAATTCGAAGCGGCAGAAGTGAGTGATGCATGGAGTTGGGTGGAGTTTGAAACTGAGCATGGATCGTTATTCGATTAGTCATTGGAAGCGTATTTGTTAAGGTAGAAAATGTTGAGACTTCATTTTATGACAGGGATTGACTCCCTGCTAGAATTAAACTCATCAAGGGGAGTTGATACTCGTGGTCATGGGTGAGGTCAGTAATTATCTCTCCTCCTCCTTGTTACGATTTTCATTTGCTCCCTGGGATACACAGGTACAGAGGGAGGGTTAGTTCTTATTGCGGGAAGCTCTGCCGCAGAGGGACGGGACGCTCAGGACGGGATTATCCACACAGAACCCACCACATCACCAATAACTGACTAACTTCGGTGATCACCACGGCGTTGACTTCCCAAATAGCACCAGAGAGCCCACTCTCTCAGCAAACCCCTGAAGCCCAACCCTTGTTCACATGGGTTGCAACCCAAAATTCTGCTATGGTCGTTCAATTCAAGAATTTCTTTCTTGCATACTCCAGTCCCTGCGCTCCTGAAGAGTTCAACACCGGCGACGCGTCTTTCTGCTCTAAAGTAGAAAGCTGATAAGTGCTTTAAGTAACATAAAAAGAACAATGTCTCTGAGCACGCGGTCGAGCAGCTCCGTCAAGCAGAGCGTGGATAGAGAAAAGGTCAATCTCACTGGGGTGGAAGAGACCCTGTTAGCAGCCATCTGGTGCCGAGCTAAGGATGCGGAGAGTGCCAATCCGCTCCTTGGCGACCCTTATGCGCAAATGATCCTCAACCGCTGCGACGTCGACTACACCCGCAGCACCTTTGCGGCCTTGCATGACGAACGTTGGGCGCAATTTATCGCTGGGCGAGCCAAGAAGCTGGACGTGTGGTGTCAGGAATTCCTAAAAGCACACGGTGCTGAACCTGTTCAAGTCTTACAGCTGGCTTGCGGCCTTGACAGCCGTGCCTTACGCATCAGCAGAGGTTCCAACGTCCGCTGGATAGATCTTGACAGACCTTTCGTAATCAACCTGCGCGAAAGGATATACAAAACGCCCCCGACTGGAGACTATAGTCTTCGTAACCTCTCGGTTACCAATGAGAGCTGGCTCAATGATATACCGCAAGACCGGCCAACTCTGATAATTGCGGAGGGCTTGCTCATGTACCTGCAACCAGCGCAGTCCAAGAAAGTCATCACAGATGTGGTGGATTATTTTGAGCACGGCGGTGAAATCATTTTCGACACGCTGGGTACTGTCCTGCAAAAGTATACGTCACAAGTCCAATGGCTGAAATCAAGCAAGGCTGCCTTCACCTGGGGAGTAGACAACTACGAAGAAATCGTGTCTTTACGGCCACAATTGCGTTTGATTGATCAAAGGTACTGGTACGAGTATATGGGAGTGGAGCGCAAAGTGTCAAACTCTCCTCCATGGTTCGGCAACACGATCACCAAATTAGCTTCGATTTTGCCTTCTTTCAATGACTTTGGGCAGATTATGCGATTTGAATTCCAACGTCGAGTGAGCCCTCGATTATATTTGCCCTAAAATTGGAACATGCACAGAGAAGAGATCTTACTCTGCTCCGTCGAAGCAAATATAGGTTTATTACAGGATAAAACAATGTTCAGAGCCCATCCAGCAATAGAAAAAGTCAGGGTGGCAGTAAATGTCCCAAAATTGTATAAGAACAAGACAACTTCTCAGGCTTGATTTTCGAATCCTACATATGAGCGTTGAAAGAATAGATGGTTTTCATATAACTATTTAAGAAACAAGGACGGTAATGGAATAAAAACCTAAATGTGTGATCACATCATTCCATACACCTTTACCTGATCAGTAAACTCTTCAACTGTGTCCAGATTCCTGAACTTACCAAGGGTATTACACACATGACCTCAGGACTAGATTAATTTAAAGCCGACATCAAAATCATGGATCTAGAAAACCTAAGGATCAACCATCTGCATATTTCCAACTTCAAGAATGTAGATTCTGTTGGCCGAGTCGGTATTGGCAACTGCTGACTAGGACGAACCATCTGTTGTCCTATATTTCACCATATAATATCCAATTCGTAAGTCGATAATCAGTGCTTGTCTGATGCAGGCCAGATAGACCGACTTGAAGCAGGTGCCCGATCGTGCGATTATCCCAAACCTTGTGTCCTAAAGTGATTGAATACATAATGGGGCATACCTATTAGGCACACAACTGGTGAATCATCTATCTATTTTTGATACTTCTGATGACTCGATCATCATGAGGTGCCAACAGAGGCCATGAAAAGCAGCATTTACAGAAATCTGTGTGACTTCACTGAGAAATAAATAGGAGATTTGATATGTAGGAAGTTTTCTTTGATGTTGAGTTATCTCTAGCGAATCAATTCTGTTCTAGAATCAGTCAGATCAACTCAAGCCTGAATGACTGTCTAAACAGTTCGAGATCATGATTCTTAAATTAACGAATTTCCTGGTGAGGTGGGTCTACTAGCGCGCCGTCTGCTTTGTTTCTTTTACCAAATTCTTTTTGTCTTAACCAGAGTAAAGCAGCACAAATTCTGAGACGTGAAGCTTATTTACTTACTAGCTCCTCAATCTTTTTCCCATAACCAAAGCACCGCCGCACTCTTTCAACCAAAAGAGATCCTGCAGCCATAGAAACCGGTCTTTCCAGTTATTTGTTTGCGGTTTTATCTTTATCTTTGGTTCAGCTCAAGGTTTTCTCTTCCGTTGAATAACCAGGCCTATATCAGAAATGACCTCGAACGTCTACGAAGCGCCCTAGTGGCACAACCGGCCGAACTGGTCTTTCCAGGACGGTATACAGTCACGCTCCTCGAAGGCAGCTCCCTAGTAAAGCACCAAACTACTATAGGCCGCGATTTGGGTCTTTTCTTGATTCGCGAGTTTAGGTTATTCGCACTTAACATTGTCTACTCAGTCAAGAATGTTGATGCCGATTTGCTGCGGGCAATTCATAGCGATCCACAGTGCACACGCGTGGACCACGATCTTATGGGAACGCAGTTCTAAGAAATATCAAGACCCTGGGCAAGGAAGGAAGGGAGCAATATCAGTGGTCAGCGTGAGCTGCTGACAGCTATAGTGGGAGCTGGAAATCCAATGTTTGGTTCCATGTGCTCAAGGCCAATACAATCAGACCAATTTCCGGGCTATTGGCTACATGTTATTCCACCTGTGTTAGCATTGATGCTGATTATTCCACTGATTGAGCATTTTTGTCAGCTTGGCATCAGTTGCATCTTCTTTAAGAGTAGAAGGAGTGGTGGCTTTCGTTCTGGTAGTCTACTGACTACAAAAAGAAAACCACATATTCATCTTGATGATGTCTACTTGTGAGCTTTCAGATCTTTTTAAAAACAGTGCCTAGCTCGAACAAAGAGAGCAACGCTATAGGCGAATTGGCAGCTAACGTAGTGACTCTGTCAAGTGGCCGTGTTAGCACGGCTTTCAGAGGGTTACAGGTTAGAGGAAGGAGGCGTTTCAGGAATGAAGTGCGCCAAGCTTAATAATTTCGAGGACATCGATCAGCGTGGTATTACTGGACTCATCCTCTTTCATTATTTCCTTTGCCTTGACTTTAGGTCCCTCTCCTAGCCCCACAGTTTACTCATCACTGTTAATCTCTGTGAATTGGCATTTGGATACGAACCCTGATGCCATTTGATACCAAGTTATCAACAGTAAGAAAGCAAGAAATATGAGTAAAGTAATTCTATATGCATAATGAAGTAGCATAAAGAAAAGTCTCGCGCCCAGATTTGCGCTGGCACGGAAACCGTCTCTCTCTCTCTGTGGGGAATATCTGGTATGTGGATATGAGATTCTATAAGTAAACCGAGCAAACCCAAAGGCGAGATGGCCGAGTTGGTTATGGCGTCAGGTTAAGGTCACCTTAGCACTTAATTCCTGGTGGAGCAATCCGCGTGGGTTCGAGTCCCACTCTCGTCACAAGTTTCGTTTTTTTGCCTATTCCATTGAAAAGCTTTCGATGCTGGAATTCAACATTTTTGTTTAATGGAAGCGAACAGTTCCACGTACCAGGGCCATCCAGATTAGCGCGACACGTTTACAACATATCAATGTTGCAAAACTTGAATTTCATCAGACTGAGGCCCTTTGTAACTTTAATAAAGTCTTGGCTCTATTCTAAACTCTGTTGGTCGTCGTAGGGACAATATCCGCAAATTCCCTTTGTGCTGCCCAAGGAGAGATGCCTTAGGATGTAGCGGACATAAATGATTGCAGCTTCCAAGAAAGAACCAATTGATCGCTCACCCAAATAATAAAGGAGGAACATTTCCGGCTCGTTTGTTGAAACCCGCGAAAACAACAACCGGAGCCCTAGGAGCAATTTTGGGCGGCCTCTAACCAAGGATTCATGCTTTCCAGGATTCCCTATAGGCTCCCCCGATTTCAATTGCAGGTGAAGTGCAGCACTATTCCATCTGGTTCGCCAAGAAGCTTCCTTCTAAGAGCAGGCGTAGTTGATTTTCACACATATTTTGGGCGACAGAGAGGGGGTTCGCTAGCTGACTTGCTCCGGTATTTCAGGCTAGTTCTGCACCCCACGATGCGCCAATGTGAACTGTCCATATGATACCATGAATAATGCAATGCCTGCCCACATATGATGGTGATCCCAGCCACTTTTTAGGTGGGAATTTCGGCTTTCCTTGCCTGTAAAACACTAATGTATCATTTTAGGCGACGCCTACCTGCTATCGGCGATGCTGAGTCTCGCTGACCACTACCGCGTTGGTGACGGCCGATCATGGCGTCCTCACGTTACGGCTTGTAGTTGCCGTGCGGGGGCTTTTATGCAATGCCTTCGCGTCAGGAGTCACTTTATCCTAAGCTATTATCAAAAGCCCTTCTACTGGCCACCCCACAGTCCATATGCCGAAATTCCACAGGTATGGATCGTGGAGCCCCACGGGGTGACTGATGCAGACAGATGGTACCTCCCTACTATCACTCAATCGGTTTACGCGTCCTAGAATTTCCCTATTTGCTTAAATATTTTCCACCAATGGCCAAGAAATCAGTGCGCTGTTCAATGGAGCAGTATGTGTCAGATAGGGCTCATCATGAGATGATTTCAAATGATCCCATAATAGCCTAAACCAAGGGGCCTATCACAGGAAAGAGGGGTTTGAGCATATTTTAAAAGGCGCCCTGAGAACCAGCCGGTGCTTTGGTGTCAGTTATGCGGAGTAGCAAAGAGTCGGACTCCCATACCGCACTCAAACTTGCGAGATTACTTCACCTTGCCCTAAACTGCTGTATTGTATTCGCTGGAATAACTATGGCGGCTACAAACACAGTAAGTGGGGATGAGATTCGGCCCGTTTTAAACCATTCACCAGCAATAGCGGTGCGTGAGAGGGCGGCGGATTTCCTGGCAAGTCACGCTCCTGAGGATAGCAGCTTCACCTACGAGGAAGAAAGGGCCGTGGTTCGTCGAATCGATAAGCGGGTTCTGGTTCTAATATTATGGGCGTATTTCTTCCAGCAGCTAGACAAAAGCTCTTTGAGGTGAGTTAGAACTGAAATAGAGTGGGCATTTCAGGTTCGATTGTTGCTGCTGACACAGCATGCTCTTACAGTTATGTCTCCATCTTTGGTCTCGCTACTGACGCCCATTTGGTGGGGAAACAGTACTCATGGTTAGGGTCGATCCTCTACCTTGCGCAGTTGGTTATGCAGCCCCTTGCTGCCCTGATCCTCGTGCGCCTGCCAACGGGCAAGGTCCTCGCCGCTGCCATCTTCTTGTGGGGCTCAGCGCTTTCTATCATGACCGCTTGCACCAACTTCAAATCCCTTTTAGGCTTGCGTTTCGTGTTAGGCTCGTTTGAGTCTATGATAGCCCCCTGCTGTGTAGCTATTACACAGATGTGGTGGCGTCGTAGCGAACAGACTCTACGTACCAGTTATTGGAATGCCATGAACGGCGTGACCGCCATAGTGGGTAGCTTAGTAACCTACGGGCTTGGGCATGTCACCAACTCCAACATGTACAGATACCAGACGATATTTATTTTCTGCGGCCTGCTAACAGTAGCGTATTCTTTTCTCGTCCTCATCTTGATGCCAGACTCTCCGATGGAAGCCAAGTTCCTCACTGAGCGTGAGAAGGTTATCGCCACAGAGCGTCTGCGGGCAAATCAGATGGGTATCGCGTCGAGGAATTGGCGTTGGGACCATGTTCTGGAGGTCGCATTAGACTTGAAAACTTGGCTGTGGTTTGTAGCCATCGTGTCCATCTCGTAGGTGCAGAAATCGGCTTCATATTGTTTGGATTTAATGCTGACCATTTGATCCACAATAGCATTTCTAGCGGCGGTATTTCGACCTTTGGGTCGTTGATTGTGCAGTCTTTTGGTTTCAGTAGCTTCCAAACCATCCTGTTCAACATTCCTTTCGGGGTCATACAAGTTCTTGCCATCGTGGGTACCGGGTGGTTAGCCACTTTAACCCAGCGGAAAGGCCTCGTGATAGCAGGAACTAGCGTGCCACCGATCGTTGGGACAGTCTTGATGCTTACGATACCCCGAGAGCAGAAGGGTGTTTTACTGTTCGGTTATTACCTTGTACGTATACCTTTGGACACACTCTATATACTCTTGATATATTAATGGCTCCAAAACCAGGTGTCAATCATGGCTGCAATTACACCGATGATATATGCGTGGCAGGCACAAAATACTGGAGGTGACACAAAGAAGAAGTGCACATCTGGCGTTGTTTTTGTCGGCATGTGCACGGGTAACGTTATTGGGCCGCTCCTCTATTCAACCGAAGATGCTCCATTGTACAGAAAAGGCCTCATTGCTAACCTTGCCATGTTCGCTACTGTTGGCATTGTGTCTTCGTAATACTCCCTATTTTCTTCCTCATGCTATCTGCTAAAAGAAGCTAATACTCTTGTCTTTATCTTAGATTGATTCCTTTCTATCTCATGTACCTCAACAAAAAGCATGAGAAGAAACGAATTGCGTTAGGAAAATTTGGTCAGATCACTGATGAATCGATGATGCGTAAAGTAGACTTGGTGGAAAGTAAGACTGTCGAGCTTGAGGAAGATATCAGGCATCGACATCTGTCAGTGGACCAAGACAATGGGCTACACGATGTGACTGACCTTGAGAACGAGGACTTCATCTATGTATACTAGATCTAGCTATCTTAAGTTCTCGTACTTCTCATCGAGAAGATCTTCACATATATCAGATTGACGGTACCGATTGGCAGGTTGAAGTCGGGAATAGCGGTCGTTGAAACTCTATGATTAAGAAGTAATTGAGTTATTAATTATCACTGCCGAGCAAGTTCACTCTACCAGATTGATCTGTGTCAGATCTATACCGTTATTGTTAACTGGTGGAAGCTTACATGCCCCAAGAATTACGGTTATTAGACACGAGGTTATCCTAGACCGGCTTTGGACTATGCTCCTTATTCAATTCGGCTTGCGGACTTTTACCTTAGATATCATATTTGCTTCCAGAACGTTATATTTTGATTGTAGATTCCCAATAAGCCTGTATCATTGTAGCGTTTATTTACTCTACCTACTTTTCAAGGCGGTAGAGGGTCATGGCTAATGACTCTCGGACCACGGAGAAAGGTGCGCGTTTCGCGACTTACTCCATGAACCCAATTTTCCACCACTTCGATATTTTACGGACATGAGATATAATTGAAACAGGTAGCTAGGATTATTGCCCGAAGCTCCTTCAAACAAACGTACTCTTTGTAGTTATTGTACACTGAGGATGCGTTGAAATGCACCATGAGAAGTTTTAGATAAATTTATTAGGGTGAATTAATCTCAACCCACTCACGCGAGATGTGAAGCAAGCTATAATCTATTTGTATTCGGTCGCTAAATGAAATCACAATCAGCCGTAGAAAGTCCAAGGACTTCAATATTTGGAATTACTCCAGACGAAGATTTGACAAGCTGTAGGAGGAGCTTGTTGTTGTACCCTGGCTTCTGCTGGCCGCCTTCTGCACCACGTACTGCCTCGACTGGGTCAAAAAAGTGAAGATCGACTTCTGCGTTTTCGGGAGCATCCTCGCGTATATCTTGAAGTACTGTATGAATCTTCCTTTCTTCTTGTTCTTTTTCCTCAACTTCGAGAACGATGAATCCAGCCACAAGTACAGTCGCATGAGCGGTAGGAACGTCGATATTGAATCCCTGCGCTCCTGTTGCGGCTTCCCTGCGGAAAACGCTATTATAGGGGCCGCGAAATAGTAACGGATTTCGGTACTCGTGATGTAGCAGATACAGAAGAACCGCCTGCTTCTTGACCCGACTCGCCACGGACAGCTCAGATACACTTCGGCAAACGATCTGACCACGGAGGAAATCGTGCCAGGGCCAATTCTCAACATATCTGCTCTTGGCTCCGACAAGGAATGCACCAGCCAGTAGCCAGCCAAATGTAATGAACTGAAAAGGGTCTACGCCCGCAATTTTGTCACCAACGAGGAATGGTATCGGAATACATCCTCCAATGATGCCGATGGCAATTCCAAGAACGATACCAGAGTACTTGGTTGTCTTCACTCGGATAGAGTCCTCGGTAACTGCCCAGCTCCTCATCTCTGCCTTCCTGGCCTTGTATTCTTCCAAAGTTTTCATCGCGTTCCTCTTCAGCACCATCTCAGCAGTGTCTGGACCACTATTGCTAGCATCCCATTCGTTAACTTCGTGACATAGATCTGTTAACGCGATTGAAAGGTTCCAGTCAGTAACTTTGATCGCCAAGAAAGAAGTCGGAGTGTAGATGAGAAGACACAATCTGGATCCCTACCTTTCATAGACGTAATGAGCGGGCTTTTCGATGACGAGATCATGCGCGTGCCAATTTTATGTGGAATTTCGTGTCTATCTGGTCGTACACTCAAAGAAAACTCGATCTTTGGCGACGAGTCTGAGG